GTCGCAAGAAGCATCGAGCCGGCCAGAAAATCCAATAACACCGGGAACACCGACATTCCTACGAGGTTCATTAACCGGGGACAATTATTATCCGATTGTTGAAAGGGCGAACTCCGATCCGGCCGCGGATTTCCTAGTTGCTGCCCGGCGAGCGCAATTATTCCGCGTGCCACTTGATTAGTCTCTCTCTCTCCCAGCGAGAGCTTACCTGTGTGTTGTTGTTCGCCGCCGTGTAAGCGGCCGTGTCGTCTCCGACCGGCACCCTGTCCCCGATGTACATATATATATATATACGTATATATACACACACGCGCCGCAATTTCAACTTTCAGCTCGTCGCGGCGACGCGCGCGACCCCTCGTGCGTACACAAATTATTTGAATAAACTCCGCTAATTACTCGCGTTAACTCTTCGCTGGATACGACGTCGTGTTTCCGTCGCGGGCTCGCCGAAACCACCCTCTCTCCTCCTCCCCCCGCCCGCGAAATTACGATTGTTCCGACAGACTTGGCGTTAATCGGATAACGGATAGAAAAGTACGAATCGCGACGGGATTCGCGGCTTAATTAACACTTTAGTTGTACCGGGACCTCGTTCAACTCAGCCGACGAACGAAAATCCGCGCGCGATTGCGGTGAAAAAATCGTAATACCGTTGATAATTATAGCCGAATTATTATGTTTTTATTCTTATTATTCTTTCTGCTTATTATTATTCTTTCCATCTTCTTATTTTTATTCTTATTGTTATTTTTTCTTATTATTATCTCCTAGTTATTACTTTTCAGTCTGATTTATTCTTATTATTTTTTCTTACTATTATATCTTTCTTATTATTATCTTCTAGTTATTATTTTTCAGTCTCATTTATCCTTCTTATTATTTCTTCTTACTACAATATTTTTCTTATTACTATCTTCTAGTTATTATTTTCTAGTCTGATTTATTAGTCTTATTTTTAGTCTCTTTTAACTCTGCACTCGTGAGCAGGAAAATGGCGGCGATCCGAAGGATGTTTTTCAAACGTAAAATTCTAAAAAATATCCGTCGATTATTCTTCCAAACAGAATAACAAAAAGATTAAAAAAAAACATTGATTCCAGAATGTTGGTCGCATTTGACGTCGTTCGGTGATTCAGCGGGCACCCGGTACAATTATGAAAACAGTCGGTCGTCCGATGGTTAACCGAGCCCGCGAATCCCCGCTGTCAGCAGGTGAACGGCCGTCCGGCAAACAAAAAGGGTCCCATTATCGACAAACTGAAATCCTCCGAGGAGAATTCTCCACGCGGCCGAGCGGGAACCGAGCGGAATATCGTCGCGTCGCGGGCGGCTTGAAATATTAGAAAAATCCGGTTCGCCGGCGAAAAAACGGGGTCAGCATTGAAACGTTACACGGGAACACTTTGAGCGGTGGGAGAGCCGGGGGTGTCCCCGAGGCATCGGCCGCGTCGCGAATGACAGCAAAACCGTCTTACACCCGGGGACAGAGCACCGCGTTGTCGGCCCGCCGCGCCGCGCCGGTGTCCGTCAATTCGCGCGAAGAAACGGCCGGGGATCGTCAAAAAGGCAAAAACGCCTCTTTGTCATCCGGTTTCTTTCGTTTGCCGACGATTCGCCGAACGATCCGCCGGCGAATTCGATCGTCGGAGTCGAAGCTGCCGGGAGGGATCGGCGAGGAAAGAAATGCCGTCGCGGTGGATCGGGAGAGAGGAAGAGAGAGAGAGATAGATAGAGAGAGAGAGAGAAGCGATCGAGACGGAGAAAGAGAGAGAGCGAAGCGATTGAGACCGAGAGAGAGAGAGAGAGAGAGAGAGCGAAAAAGCGAGAGAGAGAGAGACGACAGAGAGAGCGAGAGAGCCGGAGAGAGACGAAAAGAGTGAAAAAGAGAGGGAGAGAAGCGATCGAGACAGAGAGAGAGAGAGAGAGAGAGAGTGAGAGAAAGAAAGAAAGAAAGAAAGAAAGACAGAAAGAAAATGAGGTGATAGGAAGGGAGAGAGAAAGGAAAAGAAAATGAGATGAAAGAGAGAGAAAGAGAGAAAGAAAGAAAGAAAATGAGATGAAAGAGAGAAAGAAAGAAAGAAAGAAAATGAGATGAAAGAGAGGAAGAGATCAAAGAGAGTGAAAAGGAGAGAGAGAGAGAGTAAGAGAGGGAGATGGATAAAGAGAGCAGAAGAGACGAACGAACTTCCAGAACTGAATTACTGCAGCGTCGGGAGCGGAAATTCGTGTTTCGAAGGCTTTGTAGTTCTTACGACAGGGCGGGAGGAGGAGGGTGAAGGGGTGGTAGTCGATAAGAAAACACCAATTAAAGGGAGACGCTGGGCGAAAATAATTAGCGCCGGCCCGATGACGCTCCGGGAAGAGGAGAGTAACCGTCGACGAGGACCACCCGATCCCGGAGCCCACCGTCAACGACACCCTTTTTTTTCCCGCCGACGACGTCTTTTTTCTCCGGCTTCCCGTCGCGGAGAGATTCAAGGAAGCGCAATCAATTTTCCGGGAAAGTTGGCTTCAGCTCGCAGCCAGACCGCTGGGTAACCTCGACGGATAATCCTAGCACCGCGGTCATTAATATGGTCGACAAGTTGATCCACCGTGAAAAAATCACCCGACACCGCTAACCTCCGGGCTCGATCGCTCTCTCTTTCTCTCTCCCTCCCTCTCTCTCCTTTTTTCTCTCTTTTCGTCTCTCTCCGGCTCCCTCGCTCTCCCGATCTCTCTCCGGCTCCCTCGCTCTCTCGATCTCTCTCTCGCTTTCTCGCTCTCTTGATCCTGTCTCTTATACACATCTAGATGTGTATAAGAGACAGCGTTCTCTCCTCTCTCGCTCTCTCCTCTCTCGCTCTCCCTTCTCTTTTCTCTCTTTTCGTCTCTCTCCGGCTCCCTCGCTCTCTCGATCTCTCTCTCGCTTTCTCGCTCTCTTGATCCTGTCTCTTATACACATCTAGATGTGTATAAGAGACAGCGTTCTCTCCTCTCTCGCTCTCTCCTCTCTCGCTCTCCCTTCTCTTTTCTCTCTTTTCGTCTCTCTCCGGCTCCCTCGCTCTCTCGATCTCTCTCTCGCTTTCTCGCTCTCTTGATCCTGTCTCTTATACACATCTAGATGTGTATAAGAGACAGCGTTCTCTCCTCTCTCGCTCTCTCCTCTCTCGCTCTCCCTTCTCTTTTCTCTCTTTTCGTCTCTCTCCGGCTCCCTCGCTCTCTCGATCTCTCTCTCGCTTTCTCGCTCTCTTGATCCTGTCTCTTATACACATCTAGATGTGTATAAGAGACAGCGTTCTCTCCTCTCTCGCTCTCTCCTCTCTCGCTCTCCCTTCTCTTTTCTCTCTTTTCGTCTCTCTCCGGCTCCCTCGCTCTCTCGATCTCTCTCTCGCTTTCTCGCTCTCTTGATCCTGTCTCTTATACACATCTAGATGTGTATAAGAGACAGCGTTCTCTCCTCTCTCGCTCTCTCCTCTCTCGCTCTCCCTTCTCTTTTCTCTCTTTTCGTCTCTCTCCGGCTCCCTCGCTCTCTCGATCTCTCTCTCGCTTTCTCGCTCTCTTGATCCTGTCTCTTATACACATCTAGATGTGTATAAGAGACAGCGTTCTCTCCTCTCTCGCTCTCTCCTCTCTCGCTCTCCCTTCTCTTTTCTCTCTTTTCGTCTCTCTCCGGCTCCCTCGCTCTCTCGATCTCTCTCTCGCTTTCTCGCTCTCTTGATCCTGTCTCTTATACACATCTAGATGTGTATAAGAGACAGCGTTCTCTCCTCTCTCGCTCTCTCCTCTCTCGCTCTCCCTTCTCTTTTCTCTCTTTTCGTCTCTCTCCGGCTCCCTCGCTCTCTCGATCTCTCTCTCGCTTTCTCGCTCTCTTGATCCTGTCTCTTATACACATCTAGATGTGTATAAGAGACAGCGTTCTCTCCTCTCTCGCTCTCTCCTCTCTCGCTCTCCCTTCTCTTTTCTCTCTTTTCGTCTCTCTCCGGCTCCCTCGCTCTCTCGATCTCTCTCTCGCTTTCTCGCTCTCTTGATCCTGTCTCTTATACACATCTAGATGTGTATAAGAGACAGCGTTCTCTCCTCTCTCGCTCTCTCCTCTCTCGCTCTCCCTTCTCTTTTCTCTCTTTTCGTCTCTCTCCGGCTCCCTCGCTCTCTCGATCTCTCTCTCGCTTTCTCGCTCTCTTGATCCTGTCTCTTATACACATCTAGATGTGTATAAGAGACAGCGTTCTCTCCTCTCTCGCTCTCTCCTCTCTCGCTCTCCCTTCTCTTTTCTCTCTTTTCGTCTCTCTCCGGCTCCCTCGCTCTCTCGATCTCTCTCTCGCTTTCTCGCTCTCTTGATCTCTCTCTCGCTCTCTCGCTCTAATTCGCATTGCTAAACAGTAACAGTAAATCGTTGAAAAAATGTGCTCCATCGTACGAACAAGCGATTCGTTTGTTAATTAAAATGACACATTCGGAAAAACAATGATGCCTCTCTATTATGCGCACAGTCGGCCGGCTCCGTGTATTAACATCCGCGAAATTGGTATTGTTATTCGCAGTGGCAAATTTATTCGTCATTCGTTCACGCATGCATTCGGTTATTCATTTCCGTGCATAATTCATTTGAATATATCCACGGTAAATCGTTTATATGAATGCTCATATATACAATGTTCCTCCGTCTTCGTTCACTCGTGTCTCGCTCGAAAAACGAAACACTAAAACGTTGCGAAAATATGTTTTTTCTTTATTTTCGAAAATTCGTACACGTTTTGTACCATAATTACGTACGTTCTATACTAATTACGCGCACCGCAAATTATTAATTTAACGACGCGAGCCCCGGGTTCATCTCGTGTCCGGAAGCATCGTTTATCTTGCTCGTTCTCAAGAAAAATATTAATTATTTCGCTGCTCGGGCTTCTTTCCACGGAGCACCGGCATTTAATCGTTCGTTTCGTTACGTGCCGCGCATTCCCGCGATACAAACAATGCTCTTTCCCCTCTACAAATTCGTCCCGTTCTCGTTCCAGAGCTCTGCGAGAAGACGTATTGTTCCTGGGGAGCGACGTGCGTCGTGTTGGAGAGCGGAAAACCTTTGTGTCAGTGCCCGACCGTTTGCCCTCTGACCTCCGATCCTGTCTGCGGCTCCGACAACGTGACCTACACCAACTACTGCCACCTTAGACAGACCAGCTGCCTCAAAAGAAAAAGTACACGTGTGCAGCACCAGGGCGCTTGTGGTGAGTACAGTTTTCTCTTCTATCGCACGTCTTCCGAGCGTCGCGCTGTCTCCGATACCGTCGCCGGAAACGACGAGACCCTATCTTTCGTTCTTGCTCGCGATTCGATCGTTTTTGTTAACGGTGCGGCCGGAGAGTTGCAAACGACACCGATTCGTATCGATGTGTAAGAATGACGAGTCTGCGAGAATAATGAAGCTCGATTTTTATAATTATAGAATGTTATATTATTATGTTAATTAATTAATAGAATATTATATTACAATATTATTGTGGAATATTATATGATTATATTATGATATGATTATAGAATATTATATCATTATATTATGATATATAATTATAGAATACTGTATTATTATATTATGATATAATATTATAGAATACTATATTCTTATACAATGATATAATTATAGAATATTATATATGACTATATTATGATATATATAATTATAGAATTCTGTATTATTATATTATGATATAATATTATAGAATACTATATTATTATACTATGATATAATTATAGAATATTATACGATTATATTGTGATATATATATAATTATAGAATATTGTATGATTATATTACAGAATATTACAGAATATTATGATTAGATTATGATATAATTATAGAATACTGTATTATTATATTATGATATAATATTCTAGAATATTATATGATCATATATTTTATGATATAATTATAGAATAGTAATATATCGAAAGTAATACACCAATATTACTCATTAATTTATCAATATTATTATTAATGTATCAACATTATTTATCAGTGCTATTATTAGTCTCAATATCGACACTCTTGAATTCTGTCAATTTTTTTCAACAAAATCTGCAGTCTACCGATTATAAAAAAAGCATCTATTATCAAAAAATTTCAAGGCTTCCAGCTGAAAAATTTCTCCCTAAATTACACTGTTTTTTTAAACATATTTAATCCGATCTCAGGTTCCCGTTCCCCCCAAAAAGGAGCTCGTTTAAAATTCCCCCCGATTAATCTCCGCGTGGCATCGATTTCCTGTCATCGCGTCGATTCGACACCGGGCAACAAATTCGGTTGGGAAAATGAGGGCCAAAATCGAAGGGTTAAACAATGCAGCAGAAACGACTTTATACGCAGTGACTCGATATTATGAACGTATAATGATCCGCGCTGGTCCCACTTTAATGCGCGGACGCAATCGACATCGTCGTCCCGGAAGCGAATACGAACAAAAACAAAAGCGGATCCGGTCGAATGGCTGCCGCACTCGCGAACAACGGCCACGGTATCACGCACGCGTCTCTCCGTTATCCGCGTAGAATTCGCGAAACCGTTAAATAATAACGACGCGATATTAAATTCTAATCGAAGAATTTCTGTCGAGCGCGCGCGCGCGTACCGGCATGGCCGGGGAGAGAGAGCGAGGAATTCCACGTGCGCGGCGATTACAAAGGCAAAGAATTCGAGGAGCGTCATCGAAATGACACAAAGTGTCCGATCACGGATGAAGAATGAAATTTTATGCCGGTCGTTTGTGCTCAAACGGGGGAGAGGCTCCAGGGGGTGGAACGATCATGGGGGGTTGAAGCGCAGCCACGAAAATTTTCGAACGATTTTTAAAATCGAATCGAGAGCGATCTGAATATTTTCTTTCTTTTTTGAGGCGTTACAGGGCGTGGATGATTCATAAAATAATTCCTGTTGAAACTGGAGACGAGTAGAATGACAGATCCAATTAAAATATATGATTATAACAATAAATATATAATTATATTTATTATTGTATTTATTTCTATTTGATTTATTATTTATATATTATTCTATATTATTATATATTTAGAATTATATGTTTATTATATATCCGTGTATATTATTATATATTATTATATATTTAGGATTATATATTTATTATATATCGACGTATATTATTATATATTTATTATATATCTATGTATATCATTATATATTATTCTATATGATTTATTTTCAATTTATTACTATTTTATATAATATATTTATATTTATTCATACTATTATTATTGTGTTATTATTTGTGTCCAGTATTTTCGACGAAAACAGGTTAATTTTCGCAAATCTCGACCACCTAAATACAAACGAATTAACTGACCGACTCGGTCGAGTTTCGAAAGGGTTTTCGCTTGTTAAAAATTGCACCGGTTTAAAGCACCGTGTGCGTGGCCCGAGCCGACAGCGCCGGAAATAACCGGGACCGGACGCGTTTCTTCGGGAATTACAACCGCGACAAATGGGTTCCACGTCAATCCTGATTCCAGCCGCTGGCATAACTCGTCGTTTGTATCCTTCGAACGTTTCCCCCCGTCGGCGTGACGCGCGCGTCGGGACGCCCCCGTTCCGACGGCGTATATCGGGGCCGCGCGTCTCCATTTTCGCGCGCACGCAAAACCGATATCCGCGGAATAATATGACGTGACGTTCGGGAGAACCGCGCCGATACCGTGGGACATTATCGTTATTGCAGGATACCGGGCGCAATAAGTTTCCAGCCCCGCATCGACAGATCTGCCGCGTACGCGCGGCGCGACGAGATCCCGCGGAGGTTCCGCGACCGCCATTAGAGGATCGACAACGAATCGAGCGGCGGCTGTTACGCGATGAAGAATCTTTGTCGCGAGACCGAGAGCAGGACTGCCGCGTTCTCCTTTGGCTCGCGCCGAGTCGCCGAAAGAGATCCCGGGGTTTTCGTGCTCGCTGCGCACAAGGAGGCTTTTTTTGCTTTCCATGTTGTTACGTCGAGAGGAAGCATGACTTCCAGAGGAATCGATATGAAAAATGTGGTTGCGCGACGGTTACTTCGCTCGAATGTTTCTGGGTATAAATAGACGGTGGAATGAAAATCGTACGCGTGAATTGGAAGACGCTGGGGCCGATTGCAATTTCGTTTCTCTATCAAATTATTTTAATACAGTGTAATTAGGGTATTGATATTTTTTGCTTCTTTTAATTTGCTCGCTGTTCTGTGTTTCGCTTGTATGTTTCTCCCATGAACGCATCGGATCCGCAATATAATTATTAACAATAGTTACGTATATAATGGTTAATAATATAGTAGACTTGTATATAGGTGGTCCCAAAATTATGGTACTTTCGGGAAACGAGAGATTCCTTAGGTCATTTGAAGTAACTTCTTCCTTTACAAAAATTTTCTCCGAGGCTTCGTTTACGAGTTATTAGCGAAAAACACTGATCAATGGATCGCGTACGGCTGACGCCCCGCCCTCGCGACCACTTCAGTCGCGTCAGACGACCGGCGCGACGCGGCATTGGTCGCAAGGGCAGAGCGCCAGTCACACTCGCTCGTCGATTGGTCAGCGTTTTTCGTTAATAACTCGTAAACGAAGCCGCGGATTGCATTTTCGCTGAGGAAAGAGTTACTTCAAATGACCTCAGGAATCTCCCAGTTCCCGGAAGTACCATAATTTTGGGACACTCTATATAATAGATACACATATATAGTGGACTTAAATATATTACACAAATACAAGTTATCTATATAAACAATAGACAACAGATCTGACGCATTTAATAAAAATTTATGAAAAATAAATTTGCTTCCGAACGAAAAAAAAACGAACGTCAACACGTTAACAAAGTCTCGACATTTAATTTGTGAACACTCTGTACGTAAGCCGCAAAAGACGACACAACCAGAGATTTATAATTCATTTTTAATGGCCATTTTTATGAAATTCTTTTACAATTAGCGTACCCTTGTGCGGCTTAATCAGCGCACAGTTCGTTTCGTATTTATGACCCCAGCGTCGCATTGAATACAGTGTATAATACGGGTCCCCTCCATTCACAGCGCGTATTAATTATACGAACAGCGAAAGTTGTTCCGGGCGGATGGAAAAAGCAATTACAAAAATACTCGTACACCCGGCATTATCGCCGGGTTCATTAAGTCAACAGCTATTTTGCAACTTAAATTCGTACTGTCTCGAATTTTAATTAGATATCCTTCCTGCACGCGTAACATTAAATGTATCGTATTGCTGTTTTATTAATTTAATTATCGAAACTCGATTCCGTGTCAATGTATTCGGTATCAGAATTCGTTTCCGCCATTGTTTGCCTTTATGCTGCGATAATGAGGGGTATGATGGTTATATTTATTTGTTTCATGTGTGTAATATGTATTATGCAATATAATATATCATTATTAATACTATATAATATATAATACGTACTATGTAATACTACTATATATAATACTATAATATACATATATATAATATTATATTATATTATATACTATATATTATATATATTATATTATATATACTATATAATACTACAAATACTACGTAATATAATAATATATTAATGATACAATAATGTATTAATAATTATATATTATAATACAATATATACAAACGTGTAATAAGAATATTAATTATCCTTTTACGTGATTACATTTTAGATTTAGATAACTGTCTAAAATTTAGCGACACTAAATAAATTTTTCATAGAGTTCACACCTATTTTGGGGGGGGGGGGTAAAACAACAGTATATTCGTATCTTTTTAACGCTAACATTGTAACATCGATTCCAAACCAATCTCCAAGTTCAATCGCTCTTTCTAAATCGATTTCCCAATTTGTTTCTACGTCGATTTCCTAAAAATAAGCGTACACAAATATTCGGTAAAAATATCATTAAAATAAAACGATTCCTGGGGAGTGTTGCAACGATTCGAAAGGGGTGGAAAATGTTTGGAAACGACGTGGGAGACCGGTCAGGTTCAACCGAAGCAAGGAAACACAAGATCCTCGAGAAGGTAACGGACAGACCCGACACGAAATACGAGGGGAAGGATGGAGGCCGGCAGCGTTGGAAGACACAAGGGGCGTACGCATACGTGTAAAGGGGTGGTTCGGTGGAAACGGGACGCAGACGGTTAGAGACGTATTTTATCACACTCGGATCCCTTTCTGGCCGACGGGATCGCGCCGCCATGA